ATTGGAACATGCTGCCCAGGGAGGTTGTGGAGTCTCCTTGTCAGGAGATATTCAAGGCCTGTCTGGACGCCTACCTGGACAGCCTGCTTTGAGGAACCTGCTTTGGCAGTGGGGTTGGATCTGATGATCTTTCAAGGTCTTTTCCAATCCCTACAGTTCTGTGATTCTGTGATTCTGTGATTCAGTGATTATAGCATAACTAACAGAGTTATTAAAATTAAAATAGGGAAAAACTTTGAAGACCAAAAGCTTTTCCATTTTATTCTACAAGAACAAAACTATGAAAATTTACTTTGGTTAAGAATCACAGAATCACAGAATCATAGAATGTCTCAGGTTGGAAGGGACCTTAAAGATCATCTAGTTCCAACCCCCCCTGCCATAGGCAGGGACATCACCCACTAGATCAGGTTGCTCACGGCCACATCTAACCTGGTCTTGAACACCTCCAGGGATGGGGCATCCTCATACCTCTCTGGGCAACCTGTTCAAGTGCCTCACCACCCTCTGAGTGAAGAGTTTCCTCTTAACCTCCAATCTGAATCTACCCAATCTGAGTTTAAAACCATCCCCCCTTGTCCTGTCATTATCTGATTGAGCGAAGAGTTGCTTTCCATCTTTTTCATGAGTCCCTTTTAAGCACTGTAAAGCTGCAATGAAGTCACCCCTGAGTCTTCTCTTTAGGCTGAACATTCCCAGCTCTCTCAGCCTTTCTTTATAGGAGAGGTGCTTCAGTCTTCCAATCATCTTCATCTTCAAATAATGAGAAAAAGCGAAGTAAATATCAAATCATATGAACTAAAAGTGAATTTATAATGCAATTAATAAAGTGATGGCATATTGATGATTGGTTGAGCAAAAGATAGTAAGATGTCTTTTAAACATGAATTTAGAACAAGAAAAGGAAAAATCTCAGTGCTTTACAGTGAACTGTGGGTGAATACGAAGAAATGCCATATAGGCTGCTCATCTGTATTTTTAGGATGTAACATGGGGAATTCAATATACAGTACTTCTTACATGAAATGTTTCAACTATGTCTCTGAATCTCTGTTTGCTAAGATTAAATATTCTCACACTGCTAGGCTCCTATAGACTACATATACAATAGCATCAATTTAACTAATTTAACTAATATATCAATTTAATCAATTTAATCTATTATCAACATTTTATCCATTTAATCAATTTAACTAATTTCACTAATACAAAATTACTATTCATATAAGGTTTTTTATTTTTTTTTCTCCAGAGAAATATTTAAAATAAACATTGTAAGATAATAAATATTTAAACTCAACTAAAATATTAAGATGAAATTTCAGAATTTTGTACAAATTCATTCCATCGGTGCTTAATGACTTGTAAAAACACATTTGTTCCATTTTCTTTATTTTCTTATTTCTTTTTCTCATTTCATACATTAGGTTTGTCTTGCTGTTCAGTCAGCACATCTTGTTCTTTGTTGTCTGCTATTTACTATAATTCCCCTAAGTCATCACAAAGTTCTACAGTCTTATAGCTGACAAGATCTATGGTTTCTTCTAGGTATTTCCCTGGCTCACCCTTGTTACTTACATAAAAAATAATATTAAAGAGTTAATAAATAATAGTGCCATTTATATCTAATGACTTTGAGACTGTTGCAAAACTTGCAACTAATGGGTCATTGGTTAAATCTCAAATGAGGACATGCTGTCACAGAACTGAAAGAAAAATGCTATCATAGTGTAAACAGTATTTTATCATTATTTTTTCTGGCAAAGTTTTCCTTACAAAGTAGCACTCTGGCCATCTGTGCTCATACTAGTGAAACCGAGAATTTTTTTTTTTTTTTCTGATTTAGATTCCAAGCTTCCCAGCTTTTTTATTTTTTGACCTCAGAAACATTGCCTACTTTTTCATGGAGCTTTTAAATTCTTTTCTGATTTTAAGACTGATTGATATATTCTTGTGTTTTTTTTGTTTGTTTTTGTTTTTTTTTTTTTTTTTTTTTTCACCAAAAATGGTATCAAAAGGAATCCAGAATTTCCTGAATTTAATCTGTGTTTTATAGACCTGTTAATGTCACCCAAATGAACCACTGTCTGTGAAAAACTTCTGAAAACCATAACAGAAAACTGAGGAGAATAATCTTTCCTCAATGACAAAATAGTGACAAAATAGTTGAGGCCTATATAAATGGCATGAGCAAGTCAGATATGAGATTGCAGATGATCACTGAACTGCAAGTCAGGTTACAGAAGGACGGAAAAGCTTATTTTTTCTGGGAAACAAGCAAACACATTCAAACATAAACAAATATCAACCAACCAACCAAACAAACCCCCTCCTTCCAAAAGAGAGAGCCAGTGACCAGTATAAATTTTGTTCAGCATATTTTAATCAGGCACCAGGGAGGCTTCTGTGTGCACAGCTGAGCACTGATCTGCCTTTCTCACAATGCCGATGCTTTCGGTTATAAGCTTAGCACTCTGTGATCAATGCCTGATGCTGCAGAGAAAGATAAAACTGTCTGATCAAAACTGACCTCATTTTTGTCATCTTATGCAATTACTGCTAACCTTCTGAAACTAAAGATTTAGGAATAAGTATCATTGGGCTATAAAGCCAAAAACATTGTGTTCTAAGGTAACAAAAGGGCTGTCCTAACCCACCATCTCAGCTCTGACTTCACCTGATTGAGGCAGGAAACAAACCCTGTCTTTTAAAACATTAATCTTATTGTGCCTCAAGAATCCTAACCAAAGGCCATCCTTGGATCACCCTCCCAGTGTTTAATCCCACACCTGCTGTCAGGCTGCCTCAAGCACACACAGCAAAAGGTCTTCTATAATTCAAGAGCATTTTTATGGCAGTGTTGAAATCTCCAGCAAAATCCTGGAGAAAATGGACAGATAACAATGCCTGGTTAAGTAAGGATGGGAGTGTAACAGTGCGTGAAGGGGCACCCAAAACTGAGTGTTTTCCACATACTGATCATGTTAAAGAGCAAGATGAAAATAAACCAGTTCAACAATATCCTACAAAGCGGCTTTGGAAACAATGTAGGCATCAGTTTGAGAAGATGTATAAGGTAAGCAAGAAAGTCCATAGTGGGGTTGGGGGAGAAGCATTGGAGCAGGAGGAGCAGTGACACTGGTTAGGCACTTCCAGTTATCACCCCACGTCATAACCAGCCCTGCCTGGGACAGGACCAGAAGCTCTCCATGAGGTGCAAAAGTAGCCTGCATCAATCCAGTGGCCCACAGTGTGGGGATGGCAGGAAGGCACCCCACCTTGTGGTGCAGGTGGGTCTGTGTGCCCACAACCTTCCTTAGTGGAGTGCAGGCACAGTTGGAGCACCCACATCTCCACAGAAGGGTCTGATGGTTAATGCTGTATGGCTGGTACTGATATCAAAAATATAGTTCACTGATAACTGATTAGTTATGTGTTATTAGCAAACCAATAAACTCTTTCCATACTAATTTGTTTCAACTAGGTGAACTGAGCAGTTTTCCCTGAGACAGTCCCATGCAACCATCTTCTATTTGGCATTGCTCTCTATTCTGAAAGCAATTCACCCTGCTGCATAGTTCACATGGTGTGTTCCCAGAACTAATACTTTTTGTTAAGTTGCATTGAACATGTCTGGTTGAATTCTAACAATTTCAGAAAACTATCTAGAATGCTTTGTGTCAGTTACTTGTCCTAATTGCTTACTTTCATGCATTTTTCTTTCTATATAATATATATAATATATTATATAATTTCTTTCTATATAATATATATAATATAATATATAATATATAAATATATTATATATATTATATAGTATATAATATAATAAATATACTTGCTAGCAATAGCTCAAGAAGTTTTCTCATTAGTAAATCCTATCTCATTCATATATTGGCTTTGTAAATTTGTATGTTGAGATCTTTCAAAAATATAGCTTTCAAGTTATTTATTTTTGCTGTGCTATTAGTATATATTACAATATTGAAAATGTCATATAGTAATAATCAAATACCGAATGTAAAAATCGGAATGTGCTATCTTCCAAATATACTGTATCAGTGCTATTGCTGTTGGAAACCAGATTTGTATTGCTGTCAATATAGACCACACATTATTTGTTACAAAACTTTTGTCTGTGAACAAGGTTGACTTATTTAAAATCCAGCTTTTGTCTTTTATATATATATATATTCATATTCATATTCATATTCATATTCATATTCATATTCATATTCATATATATATAGAAATCTCTTTAAATTTATTTGTTTTAGCTTTCCTAACTTATTTGTACTTCGCAGGATTCTTCATTTTATCCTGTTTAAATGTTGGAACCACATTTGTAGTTATCCAATCACTTGGAATTTCTTCAGTTTCCCAGGACTTGTTAAATATCACATGAGTTGTTCTGAAAGCTCCCAGATGGTTTTCTTAGGGCTCTTGGGTGTCAGTTATCTGGGCCTGTTGATTTGCAAATGTTTAATTTCAACAGATGTTCCTTTATATCTTTCATTGCTACACATGGTAAACTTGCTATTACAGCAGAAACAGCATCTGGGATACATACATCCTTATGCTTCTCTCCACATACAACACATAAATGTCTGTTGGCCATTTCTGCATTGTGATTCATATTTTTGCCAGTCATCTAGATGGACGTGTACCTGTAATCCATTCCTCTTAATATTAACTTTCCTTCTGTTCCAGCAGAGCTTTGACATCTCTTTTTTACTAGGTTGGACTCCTACCCAAAATAATCTTTTTTTTCATGTCTTTGGAATTGTGGTTTATGGGGTACCCAATAGGATATTCATGAACAATTCCTGTTTTTTATTAAAAGACTCCGCATTAAACACATGTGCTTTGTCAGTTATCATAAGTTGCTTCATATTTGGTAAAACCGACTGCTTCAAGGTTCATGTATGCTATTAATAGGCAAGTGTTGTGTTCTGTTCTCATAACAGAAATCTAACTAGATTAAAATCACTGGCATCGTCTTTATTATTATTATTTATTTATTTATTTATTTTTACGCACATCATTGCCACATCTCTGCCAGTAGGAATTGTGTCAAAATACTGAGTTACATCATGCTCTTTACTCTTGGCTACTCAACTTGTCCAACAAAGACCCCTTGAGCTGAAGTCACTCTTGGCAACACTAGTTTTCTTCCTACTCCATCTCAACAGTAGCTGAAGAAGCAGATTGCAATGTGCATGTAAGATTAAGCCTGTAACAGAAAGGTACCTTCTTTAATTTCATTAACCAGAACTGCAGTCCATAAAATTTCATTGTACAGTGTTTGGACTCCTCTGTGGCTTCAGCATCATTGATGCGAACTGTTACTTCCTCTTTACCAGACCTCCTCCAGCTCTTTTTGCCATTCCCTTTCTCTAAATGAAAATTACATGAGAATTCCCAATAGTCATGAAATAGGATTCATCTTGTCATTTTGCAGTTCTGCCTGTTCTGTAGTCCTTCTTACACATGGGTATCTTCATGCCACTCTTCATGGTGACTGTCTATAAGCTTAACATTGCTACAAAGATGATAAAGAAGGATGACTTCTTCCTATACTTAGAGGATTATAAGGTCACAGATTTCATGTACATAGCTTAATGTACATGAATTTAAATACAATCTTATTATACTGCTCTTCTTAGGTGACTGCAAAATCTTTCTGGCTGCCCTTTGCTGCAGAGTAAAGGATCATCAGATTTTTAGAGTGATCTTTTTATGACTATTAATAGCACCTTACCCAAACTACACATTTCTCTCTCCACTCACATAGAACATCTTTTTATTTGTAGTACATACTGCCTTTTTATTTCTATTACTCAAGAAACAGAAGTGATTTCTGAAAATACCAGAGGGCTACTCCATCAGCTTCCTACATAGTTTCTAACCCTGGAGATAACAGAGTTCATTTTCAAATTTTGAAGATGACTTGGTAGATATCAGACATATAATCCAAAAAGTGTACTGTAGAAAGCTCCTAAACTGACAGACTTGTAAAAGCTCAGTTTTTCTATCTTAGAAAGTACAGAGAGTTTAAAACAACAAAACTGCTTTGAGTATAAAATTTACATGAGACTATTAGTTCATCCTGGAATATTGTCCAATATGAATGACCCCTGCAGCTTGGCAGGTTCAACAGACATGTAGACATAAGAAAATGAAGTTTATCATCACTGAGTCATGAAATAACAACATTTTTAAGGCACAGAATGTACTTATTGTTGCATAAGATATGTAAAGAAATTTATAATAACAGTTTAGCTCTTTACAGTCAGGATTTCACCTTAACTGTGCACCCAAATCTGAATTCAAATATCTAACCACAGCCTATAGACTCAGCAGAAATGTAAGCCCTTTTATTTATTTTTTTTTTCCTCTGAACTAGCTTGATTTGAGTTTAAAAATTAGAAGAGGGAAGGAGAAAAGATAAAAAGGTATCGTAAGACCTACATAATTGTTTTAGTAAGCTGTCTTCACTCTTTCAGAATGGACAGTTTGACATAATCATGGACACAAACAAAAATGTGTTTGTGGTCTGGATCCAGTTGTCTGCAAAGAAGATTTATTTTATTTTATTTATTTTATTTTATTTATTTTATTTTATTTATTTGTTTTGTTTTGTTTTATTATTATTATTATTATTTTTTAATGGAGTACTGGTAAGAGAAGTCTAGTGTTATTACTGCATAAGGTGTAATTAGTTTAATTTTTCATACAGTTTTTTTTTTTTTTTCATGCAGGTGGTGTATGCAATAGCATGTGAAATCCATGTATGATGTAAAGGAAATGAGAAAAGAGAGAAGAGCTTGATTTATTTTCTGTGATATTTATTACCTCTTTGGGAATAATTTTTCTACTGAGTTACTGGTAGTTTTTCACCATGATTTTCTGTAATAAAACATTCTATTTAATTTATCTATTGGTTAACTAAAGAAGCTTTTTTGCTTGCTTTTACATACCAAACTACTTGTTTGTTTGTTTGTTTGTTTGTTTAATTCTGAAATGAAGTAAAAATACTTTCTTAAATGAATAGGCAAAGTATTATTTAGAGGATTAAAATATTATGCTTATCTGCTATGATACTAATTTGAATAGGATAGAATATAGCATTCAAAATAAGAGATTGTCTAGCAATGAATGACACTTGAGAAATCCCCATTGTGAGATATATTATGCTTTGAATAGATTTTCAATTACTGACACTGAAGGTGATATTCAATATCACAACCGAAACAAACTAGCTCCTTTGACAGGATGATCAGGAAAATTTCTATTGTCCAAAGACACATTAGGAGACAGAGAGGATACATAGTGGACAAAGGGAAGGAATCATATGGAAGATACCTTCAGAAAGGAAGATGTGTTACTTAAAACAAAGTTTACTCTGCCACTGAAATGTAACACTGCTACAGGAATGAATGACAGTGTAGATATTCTTAGGTTTTCCCTGTGGCAAACAGGGAGAGTGCTTGGTGTATCTTCAGTCCATGGAACCAGGTGGGGTGCAGCATGGTGAACTGGCAGAGGCCACTGCAAGGCTGATGTCCATTGTCACTGCACAAGGCAAGACAAACAAATATTGCACCCATCTTCCAAGAGGGATGAATCATCCACAGAGAAGGAGATATCAGTAACTGCAGACCAGTCAGCTTCACCTCAACCCCTAAAAAATTGTGGAGAAAATCCTCCAGAAAGGAGGATTCATGCACTGAAAACCTAACAGAAAAGGTGGCTTAATCCTGAAGAATGTTGTCTTCAGACGCATATGTAAAATAGAAAATGTGTTTCCCTGTTCCTTCTTCAGTCCCATGCCCTGTTTTTGTTTTTTGTATTGTTTTGTTTGTAGATTTTTATTAGTTGGATAGCTTGTGGCAAAAGCATAACCATGTTGTTTTGGATTCTATGTATATTTGTTTTTTGAATAGACACATTATAGAAACATAGTTGGGAATATAATGTTTAGTGTGGGAATCACTTCTGATTGCTAAGCTGCCATTGTCGCTTTATTTATTTATTTATTTTTAAGTTATGAATTTATTCATTTACATGTAGTTGCAGAAAACTTCTATTTGACTTGGTTATGAAATTGGTTTTGAAACCAACAGTTAAACTAGCCAAAACAGTATTTCACTCTACAAATTACAGTCATTTTATAAAACTGCAGTGAATTTTGCATTGTGCTTAAGAAAAAATAAAATAAAATGATGTCTGTGTTCATAGATGCATTCAAAACTTGTCTTCAATTTTACGTGGTGAACATTCTTCAGTGGATTGCTTTTTTACACTCTCTTGTCTATATTTTAAATTTGACTTCGTGTGATCATTGTCTTTGCAGATAAATCATTTCTTATTTCCTGAGATACTGAGGTAGTGGAGATTAGCTTACATATTTGAACTGACAAATCCTTGGCTTAACTTTTGATCCAGCAATACCACTTTAGACTATGATTAACTTTAAACACCACTGATTTTAGTGGAACCATTCATATGCTAGAAAGTACATATGCCCTTCTGTGCTTTCCTTGAGCATATCTGTATCTGAGAAAGGTGTTGCTTGCAGTGAGGGCTCTGATTGGCTTGGGGGACAGAAGCTCTGCTCTTCTGCTCAGATGCTCAGGGGTGTTCACATTCCAGGGGAGTGCTCAGGTGTTTGGAGAGTACCTTGGAGAAGAAAGAAAAAGGGAAACACTGGTTTGAACTTAGCCTATGAACATGTTGACATTTGCTATGCACTTTTGTAAAGTCAGTTGATGATTTGTTTTGTTAATTTTGGTGGAGAAGTATAAAGGCAAGATCTAGCGCCTAGACTGGTGCACAGACCCTAAGTCAAGAACTGTGTGAGACCAATATGTTTGATTTACTAACATGGATACTTATCATGGCTACTTCATAGCGTCTTTGCAGACCTTATCATTCCTTAAACAATTTCTGTTACCAGTAAGACACTTTTATATATATTTTTATATATATATATATTTATATATATATATATATTTTTTTTTAAGTCACTGATGTACCTATTCTGAAATTTGACATCTGTATAATCTTATCAGATTTCCTGGGATGAGTTCCCCAACATACATTTGAAGAATGTATGGCACTCTTCCTTGCCTTGTTTTGCTTTACCTTGCCTTTGCTTTGTCTGATTTTCTTAGTAGCTAATTCCCCTTCTAATGAAAACATTTATATAGTGAATAAGGAAAAGGAGTAACTCTGGGCTAATGAAACTGATGGCATACCATCACTGGGCTCATTATGCTGCCTTTTCTCTCCATCTTTGTCCTTCGTCATCCCCCATCTATTCCTGCTCGCTACAGAACAAACTGCTTTTGTACACAACACATGCACTATGGATTTTTCAGTGAGCTCCTGAGGCTTACTGTAATATCTATCTAATAGCAAATAATTTAATGTGACAACTGTTCAGCAAGGACAAGAAAAAAAAAATAAATGGCATTTAGGTCACATTCCTAATTACTGAGAAAATACTGAGGGGCAGAAGAAGGAAAAGAAATAGACTTCTGTCTGGAAAAATCACACATATGTAGCTAAATCCCCTAGCATAAAAAAAGAACTGTGTCACAGACATAGCTAAGGTTAAGAATAGACTTGTTACATCATCTTTTGCACAATGCAGTAGTGGGAAAAGAGAGGAAATGAGGCCTTCGGAGAGGAATAAATAAATTACAGCCAGATTTTATAGAAAAATGGCTAGACTGGAAGCTTCTTAGGAAAACTCTGGATTGTGTTCCATGTTAGATACAGGTGAGGAAAGAATAGAAAAAACTACTCTAACAAAAAGAAAAAATCAGGTTATGGTTACTGGTGACATGGAAGCAATGGTCAAAGGATATCCATTTGAGCTTTAGAGAGCAGTCAATTCATTTTTTCATTAAGAGATTTTACAGCTGTTTCTGACATGTCAGCAATGGTGGGAAGCTGTACGGCAGCCTTTCAAACTCCAGTCTTCCTAAGCCCAAGAAGAAAAATGTATACAAATCTCTGAATAGTTTTATCCCCACACTAAACTTCATCCAAGACTGCAATCAAATTAGAGAATACAAGGTTCTCATGAGAATAAGTTCTACCTTCAATACCATATTTCTGGCACCTAGTCTGCAGCACGTGGGGGAAAAAAAAAAAAAAAAAAAAGAGTCCTGTGAGAACATAAAACATTTATGGGATGGAAGCTCTACTCAGAAGTGGCAACATCCTATCCTTCTTGGAGAAAAGTGACACCCAGATGAAAGGAGAATTGTCAGCTGGGGTGTGCAAATGACCTCATAATAAAGGTAGCCCATAAGTTAGCTGAGTGCTAGGCTTTGCATTGAACAAACAAAAGATTTAAAAGCTCTTTCTTTCTTCATTGGTGGTCTTAGTCATCAGTAATCCAAAAAGGCTTACTTAGACTGTTAAACCATAATGGATGGAGCTGAGCTGGGTGGCCTGTCAGCATCAAAATAAATGTAGCTTGCAGGTCAAGGGAGGTGATTAGAGAATCCATCTGTAGTACTGTGTTTGGCACCAGGACCTTCAACACCCTGGGAAGGATGTGGACCTCTTGGAGCAATTCCAGAGGAGGTCCATGAGAATGATTAGAGGGCTAGAACACCTATCTTATGAAGACAGGCTGAGATAGGGTTGTTCAGTCCTGAGAAGAGAAGGCTCTGGGGGGACCTCATAGAGGCCTTCCAGTACCTAAAAGCAGTCCTACAGGAAAGCTGGAGAGGAACTCTTTGTCAGGGAGCGTAATGATAGGACAAGGGGAATGGCTTTAAACTAAGAGAGGGTAGATTTAAATTAGATATAAAGAAGAAATTATTTACTCAGAGGGTGGTGAGACACTGATTGCTCAAGATCTGTGGATGCCCCATCCCTGGAATTGTTCTAGACCAAATCGGATGGGGCTTTGAGCAACCTGGTGTAGTGGGAGGTGTCTCTGCCCTTGGCAGAGGTGTTAGAACTAGCTGTTCTTTAAAGTCCCTTCCAATCCAAACTGTTCTATGAATCTATGATCTAAATCTGGGGTAGGAGTTTATAGTAAGACCTGATTTCTGCTTCCATTTCTAGCCCAGAGAAGAGAACTGGAGGGAAGGAGAAAATTATTTGCTCGACATTTCTTAGTTCAGCTGGAAAAAAAAAAAAATCAAAACCAACCAAAACAAACAAACAAACAAACAAAACCTATCACAGCTCTGAAAGTATAGACTGAAAACCTGAAAGCAATTTAAACTGTTTGGATAAAAGTTTGGAAAAATAAACAGAGTATATGTTTACATGGGAAAAATGCTGGATACTAAATGATGAAGTTAGAAGCAGGTGTCAGACAAAAATTGTAAAAGCTATAGCCTAGGGGAAGAGATGAACTGTGGATGATAAAATATGTCTGCTAAAACCAACCACTAGTTTAGTTGTGGAGCTCTGCATCTATTCATAGGAGAAGTTGGGATCTGTTTACTAGGAGCTGTCTTTCTTCTCTAAAGACTAGAAAGATGGAAACATATTCTGGAACATCATGGAATCTCGTATATCTCATTGTTCTGTATTTTTAAGAATTATACTAGTATCTGAATTGTGATTCATTTTTTTTTCAGCATGTCAGTATAATTTTTCTTCATGCAACGAGCAGATTCAGGAAACGTGTATGTCATATGAAGAACCAAAGCTTCTAACTGCACTGTCACTTGAGACCTCTTTCTAGGAGAATTTGTGTCCCATAACAGACAAAGGTGCTGTCTGTAAGAGGTTTGTTTTCACACCCACATGTATATCCAAAATAAACCAGTGACAATGTAAGATGTGCTCACTTTGCAGGACACATCCTTCTTTAGAGAATCAGCTCTTAGAATATAACATGCAATTCACAAAGGAGACAAAGTCTAATGAAAACTGGAGGGACACTGAGTCAGGAAACCTTTTGCCTCAGCCACAGCCACCCATTTCAGGTCAACACTGGCCCTGTGTTAAACTTCAGAAGATGAGGTAATGGCCTCCTTCCATTGCTTCCTGCTTCCCAGTGGCTTCCTGACTCTTCTGGTTTCATTTCATAAATTTATTGAAGCAAAGTTCTTAGGAGGCTGCAGGTATGTTCTCACTTATAGAGAGACTTGACAGGTGACACTGCATACATATATGACAGGTGTAAGTTAAAGGTGATTGAGAAAAAATAACCATCTTTTTCAACTACTGATGTTAAAATTTGCAACTATAACATCTTTGAATATTATTTTTAATTCCTTTTCTATTTTACATAAAATAAAGTGAAAGAAATTATCATTTTGGTTTATGCAAAGATAAAACAATACCGTCATTTTAACTCTTGTACAACCAGTGATACTCAACATATAGGAACATACAATAGAAATGTATGCATTTGGATACATTTTTAAAGGAGGAAAAAATAATAAACATTTAGTTTTTGTCGGTTCAGAAAAAAATGTCTTAAAAAATGCTTCCCATTACAATTTTAGAAGATTCTTTCCTGATTCTCAATAGCTTATCTATATACTATATATAGGTTATATATATATATATATGTTTATCGTATATTATATATATTTTCAGACCTCCAAGTAAGCCAATTCAAAGAAACAAACAAACAAACAAAATTCAAACAAAACGAAACACACACATACACATGCACACACACAAAACAAATTAAAACAAAAAATTACAACAACAAAACACAAAAACCAATCAACTAAACAAACAAACAAACAAAGAAAAACAAACCCAGAGCTATAGAGGATTAAGCTGTCAGATGTGTAAGTCTATATGTAGGTAAAACCTGCTCTGTTTTCTATTTTGATCTGAACAGACACCAGCTCAGCCTATCACAAAATAAAAATAAATTTGAAATGGACATCAGAAAGTCAAATACTTTATAGGTGCTCTTCCTGGAATGACTTACACAAGAAGGGTCAGTATGGCTGAACTCTGAGACCATTTAAGAAATAATTCCAAAGAGAATTGGTATATTATTGCAGTCTTCATTGTTTCCATCATTACCACAATTTTATAGTGTTTAGAACCCTTTTACAATTTAAAATGTCATATCCCAACCAAAACTCAGTATGGTAATACTATTGCAATCCCCTCAAAAATATTTTTTTTAGCTTTCATGTTAAGTTTGTCAAATGCAATAAAATAGATAGCATCATTTGGCTTGTATTTGCTAGGCAGTCCCCCACAAATCTGCCTTACCAGCAGATCAGTTCAAAGGCTTTCATCACTGGAAGCAACACTTAAATTCTGCCACCATGTTTGGATTGGGGAGCTCCTGTCTAGGGGGTGAAGGAGAAGGGTAAGTGGTGGAGTTGGGGTGGGGGATTTGGAAGGAAAACAAAAGCTGCTGCTATTCTTAGACTATCATATGCACTCCAGTCTGTCTCTTGGCAGCTGCTGCTGCTGTAGGCAGCGGCTTTTCAGGCATCTAGCACAGTCAAAAAGCCTCTGACAAATCCATTTTGCTGCTGCTTTGTGTAACTGTTTCTTTCCATATATGCCAGTATAAGTATCTCCAGTCCCACAGGTGTGTCCCACAAGGATAAGGTCAGTGGGTAAAACCCCTCCCACGACTACCTCATGGCCTGCTGTGATGACCTTTGTCAGATGCTCCTGGTGGCAATGCTGCCAGTTAATCTACAGTCCAGGAAAAATGA